TGCTGCAGCCGGGTACTGCGCCGCCCTCGCTGCGCGGCCGCTCCTGGAGGAGGCCGTTGCCGCGCTCCAGCGCGCCGGAGGCGGCGGGTGCCTCGCGAGCGAGGCGCCTCTGCCTGCGGTGGTGCTGCTCGCCGCGAGCCTCTGGCCCGCGGCGTCCCGGGCTGTGCTGCCGCTGCTCGGCGAGGCCTCGGCGCTGCGGGGCGGCGCGGCCGCCCCGGCGGCGCCCCTGCTGGCAGTGCCTTCCGCCTCCCTGGAGGGCTTGGAGAGGCAGGTGCTGCAGGCCCACCGCGCCTACACGGCCTCGCGTCCGTACATCCACATCCTCAGCGGGGCGGGGGTGGAGGAGGGCGACGTGTCGAAGGCGCTGGAGGACTGCTCCTCGGCTCTGCGCACTCTTCGGCGCTCGCGCGCGGGCGGCGCGCTGGCGCCAGCGGCGGCGGCGGAGCGGGGCATCGAGGAGAGGCTGGGGCAGGTGCTGGCCGAGGCGAAGGTGCCGCCTGCGGCGCCCTGCGAGCAGCAGGAGCCTCGGCGGCGCCGGCGGCTGCTGCTCCTCGGTCGCGGGGCGGAGGCGCTTCGCGCTGGGGCAGAGGGCCTCGCTGGGGGCCACTGGAAATGCGTCGGCCCAGATGCCTTCGCCGCGGACCAGGGGGCCTCGGAGGAGCCCGCAGCGATCGCTGTGGTTGATGTTCAGGACTCTGCCAGCGCTGGCTTTCTCGAGAGCGCCCTGGAAACGGGCGGCCCGCTTCCCTCCCACTTCGTGGCCCTGCTGCCCTCGAGGACCGCCCCGCGCGCCTTCTGGGACGCCGCGGCGGGCGCCCTGGAGGCGCTTGCGTGCGGGGGCAAGGCGGAGTGGGAGCCTGGGCTGTTACTACTCGCCTCGGAGGCGGCAGGCAGCACTCTGCTCTCTTTGCTGTGGGCCCTCAGCAGCGTCAGGCTGGCTGAGCCGCTCTTCCAGCTGCGGCCCCGCGCTCGTGTCGGCCTCTGCATGGCTTCGGTGGTGGCGCTGCCTGCTTGCGAGCGCCGCCCAGGCACCAGCCTGGAGACGCTGGCGGGGACCACGATAGGCCTGGGAGAGGTGGTGTCCGCGTTTTCCATGTGGCCGTCGCTCCACCAGGGCGAGAGCGGCCGACTGCTGGACAGCCAGTTCTTGGAGCCCGGGCTGCCCCCCGAGGTCGCGCTCGCAGGTTGCTGCTGTGGCCCCGGGCCCGCCGACCTCGCCTCGCTGCACCTGTGCCTGCACGTCCCGAGCGAGGTCGACGCGTACCGCCGCGCTGCCGGCGACTTCGACGGCCGTGCGAGCGCCGGGTTCGGGCGCGCCGCCGCCGGAGGCGGCGCCTGCGCCGGCGCGCGCCTCTGGGCTCTGGCAGAGGAGCTCGAGGGCGCACCCGAGGCCGCCCCCGCCGAGGCGGAGGGCGCGCCCGGGGCCGCGGGCGGAGGGCCGGCGGCCGGGCCGCCCGGGGCGGCCGCCGGCGAGGCAGAGGAGAAGTGCAGCTACAGCGGAGACGAGTTCGAGGAGTCCCCGTCTCGGGTCGGCAGGGTCGAAGTGGGTGCGGGGAGGACGAGGGCGACGGCCGACAGCAGTCCCTGCCCCTTTGGAACAGAAGTCGCGGTCGGCGTCGTCGCGGTCGGTGTCTATCTGAGGCAGAGGGTCGCCTGCCCAGCAGCGGCCGCTGTCGGGTTTGGGCAACATGAGCTGTTGGGTATCGCACCCCCTTTGCCACGTACCCACTTCGGGCCTCCAAATCAGGGCTCCAGAGGCGGATCTGCTTCTTCCTCCTCCTCGTCCTCCTGATGACCAGGTAGAGCCAGCTCCTTCTTCCTCTTCCTCGTCCTGCTGATGGACAGGTAGAGCCAGCTCGTGCTGCCCTCGGTGCCGCTCTCTGTGGCCGCGGGCGGCCCGCCCGCCCATGCGGGACCACTCGACGCTGAGCTGTCGGACACCCCCGCCAGGGCTCGCCTGGCTGCAGACACCCTTGCAGTTCTGAGCCCCGGCCGGCGTTGCAGAACTCTGGCCAGCGCAGGGGTAAGGCTCGCATGTGGCTGCCTGCGCTTGCCGCTCGAGGGGAAGTGCCAGCCCGGGGGTGGTCGACGAACCGCTGTGGACATATAAGACCCCGTGTGGCTCTTCCTCGGGCCTCGGGGGCGGAAGTCGCCCTGGCCCTGCACTGTGGCCGATCCACGTACGCGCACCTCGCCCGCGAGTCGTCCAGGAGCGTGGAGCGCCGGCTGGCCGAGCACATCTGTGCTGGCGGTGGTCGTGCGACCAGCGGGGCTGCTTCTCGCCTCTGGCGCGCGACCTCTTCGGAGACGGTGGTGCTGGGCATGCCGGCCTCTCCTTGTGGCCAGCCGACCTGCTCGCTGGGCCGGCCTGGGGCAGGGCCTCCGCCGGCCTGGCTCCGTGGTGCGCCGAGGGGTTTGCCGCTTCCCCGCACTGCCAGCTGCCCTCGCTTTGGCAGGGGGGCACCCACCAGCGATACGACCCTGCACTGGGGCCCGGGACCCTGGTGGGCCAGTCGAGCGCCCAGACAGCAACCTGTTCTACGACGGCAACTCCGTGCCAGTGACAGAGGTGCTACGCAGGGCGGGTCGCGCCAGCTGTAGCCGGTACCACGATCACCTTGACGGTGGCGGCGCTTCCTTGTCCCTCTGTATCTTACTGCCGCTTCCATCCCTCGAGAAAGAGCAGCCCAGCCCGTTCGGCGCACTCAACGAATTCGCTTGCATCTCACAAGAGCTTCGGCCTTATAATCATCTGGGTCACGATGCCACGAATCGGTCCAGATGTTTGTTTCCGCCGTGGAGTTTCCCAAGCGGCATTGGGACAGTCAGCGGCCAGGACAGGAGATGTATACCCGGTCAGGCGATTGGCTTCTTCTATGCCTGTTCGGCAGAGTGCTTACCAGAGAACCTCGCCGATCACTCGTTCCCCGCTTGCCCCTCCCCTTTCCCCCTCCCCCCATCAAGAATAGTTAAGAGGCAGCGCGACGGAGTCAGGCTGCACGAGGCGAGGCAAGGCAGACCGTGTGTCGCGGCATGCCCCGAACGCGTAAGCGCTTGTCGCGATGCACGCCTTCATGCTCGATTGTGCACGTGAGCACGCGCGCGCTTGCGCTAGCTAATTTTCTGTTCTGCTTGTACATGCGATTGCTCGCATGCTTGTCGTCCAGTGTCAGCTGCTCTCGTTTCACTCGCTCATGTACGCCTGCGTCGAAATATGCGTGCCCGACTGCAATTATGTATGTGAGGTGGTGTGCTTATTCATGAGTCCCCGTGTGTGTGTGTGCGCCTGCGACAACTTGATCTGTTTGGAGAGGAGATCCATGAACTATCATCCTCGCCAGTCGTGGTGCACAATGCACAGGAGCATAGCGATAGCATGCGCGGTTCGATGCTCCTTGCTGAACGAGCACAACTTGCATGCGCCATCCACTCTTTAAGTTCACTGGCCTCCCGCGCAGCCTCACTCGCATCTTCCCTCCTCTCCCTCACCTCCTACAGTCGGCCCAGAATAGTAGGTCGACCCTGCTAAATCAAGGGTGCTCGTGTGTCCTGTGCAGCGCGCGTCGTGGCCTCTGCAGTCCCGGGGCACGGGTACCCTAGTGTCTTGAGGGTGCCCCCTAGGGTCTTGGATGCCATGTTGCCGTCGGAAGAGTCTTGTGTCCTGTCGCATGTCCTGTGCTTTCAATTCTGTCAATTCTGCTTGTGCTCCTTCTACAATTACTCAATATGAATACTACTCTCCCTCTTCCCCTGATGACGTGCTGGGAGTGTTCGCCCCCCCCCGCGTTCTGTTTTTTTACACACAGGTTTCCCGGGAGTTGGGTTTTCGCTTGCATTTTTTTTCAAAATGTTGCTCTCGCTGAGGCGCGGGCCTCATTTTCGGGCCCCGCTCGTTCCGAATCGTGCTCCCGCTGCAGCGCTGGCCTCATTTCCGCGCTTCCGCTCGTTCCGAATGGTGCTCCCGCTGCAGCGCTGGCCTCATTTCCGCGCTTCCGCTTGTTTCGACTCGTGCTCCCGCTGCAGCGCTGGCGTCATTTCCCGTGCCATGGGCGTGCCTTTGCCTCTTGATACTACTTTCGGTGCTTCTACGCCATGCCATGCCGTGCTCTACAATGCATCGCGTACCCTTTCGGGATCATTGCCCTGCTCGACATCCGACTGTGCGAGTAGAGAGGGGATCTGCGCCATGGTAAGGGATGGGAGGGAGGGTAGGATGTCAGATAAAACGGGAGCGCACCTAGCTTGCCTCCTCCCCCTCCTCCTCCTCCTCCTTCTCCTCCTCCTCCTCCTCCTCCTCCTTCTCCTCCTCCTCCTCCTCTCCCTCCCACTGCCCGCTCCTCCTCCCGCAGGCTCCCCTGCAGTCCACCTCACTCTCCCTCCTCCCTTCTCCTCCTCCGCCCTCCCCGACTTCTCTCCTCCTTCCGCCCTGCTCTCCATATGCCGCTCGCTGCGTGCCTCCCCTCTTGCGCCTCTCTGCCCCTCGACCGTTGCCCCCCCCCACACACACACACCCACACACAGACACACACACACACGCCGCCCCCCATGAGAGGGATTTGAAAGAAGAGGATGAGCAGGTCGTGGAGGAGGATGGAGGGAAGATAGGGAGGAGGAGGAGGAGGAGGAGGAGGAGGAGGAGGAGGAGGAGGAAGAGCGAGGAGCGAGGAGCGAGGAGTGAGGAGCCAAGGAGCGAGGAGCGGAGGAGCGAGGGAGGAGGAGGAGGAGGAGGAGCAGGAGGAGGAGGAGGAGGAGGAGGAGGAGCAGGAGCAGGAGGAGGAGGAGGAGGAGGAGGAGGAGGAGGAGGAGGAGGAGGAGGAGGAGGAGGAGGAGCGAGGAGCGAGAAGCGATGGGGAAAGAAGGAGGAGGCGGAGGAGGCGAGGAAGGGGGACACAGACGAGGGTGGGAGGACCCCGCACTGCAGCACGCCCGAGACTCCCACGCGGGCAGGCGGGGCCCGTGGCTGCTGCCCGCGCTCCCCCCTGGGCGCCTGAGCGTCCGAG